AACATTAATTTCTTAATTGAATCTCAATAACATCATTTTTAGTAACATCAATCAAATGCAATTTTGAGTTCTCATATTACAATTTTATAGAATAAACATTACATTATACATAACATTATAAGTCTATTATAATGTTACTATGTTTACATCAGCTAATTGGGTGACACTGTTCATGTTACTTTTGAATATAATTCTTGATCATTGTTTTATATCCATTACGCTTGGTGATTTTGAATCATGTTACTATATGTTGGTTAGAATATTGATAATAAAACGTCATGCTACAGTGTCACCCTATACTTGTATCATGTTACTATATCATGTTATTGTATGCTTGTGTCATGTTACTATTGAATTTAAATTGTTAAGGAAATTTTGTGATTTGAATTTCATTTAATATACCAACGATTTATTTGTACATTAAACTTCCATATATAACTATCAGAATATATACATTTCATATAAAATTTTCGTTAATTATCAGAATATTTAATAAATGATTTTTATATACAACTCAATTAACGGTTTTCATATATAACTCAATCAACGGTTTCCATATATATATTTTAATGATCTAATCTATGTGACTTTTTATAATTAGACAAAACTAACACCATTAGGAGTAATTTTGAAATTTAAAAAAAAGTGGACTTAATTACCTACATATAAGTTTAAACGCGGACTTAACGCCAAATGAGTTTTTTTTTCGGACTCAAGTCATTATAAGTCTATCTAAAGGGATTCACCTCCAATTTTCACTTTAATGATTTAAAAAAACTCTCTATAGTATGTTGTCTTGCACCAGATCTAGAAACGTTCTCAAAGAGTTTGTGTGGCCATAAATCCTATCCTATTCTGTTCATTGAGATTTGTTGACTTTGTATATTATTCTGTTGGAGATAAAAGATCCTTATCATAGATCCATTGTAGTCTGAAAGTTATATAATAATAGAAACAACAATTCTAGTCTTCATTAAAAAAAAATATAAAATATAAACGTTACCAAACGCACCCTGAATCTTCATCTTTATATTTAATTTACTTATAAGTTTTACTAAAGCGGCTTGTATACCATTTTAAAGTTACTTTCTTAACAACTAAGAGATCCATCGGAGGAACATGGGCTAGTTGAAGACTTACCCTTTGGGCTTTTGGCCTTTCTTGTTTTGTGGGATTGCAACAATGGAGTTGTTTGCCATGGAAACACTATCAAAGGTTACTTGTTTGGCTTCGTTCGCTTCGTTATGGATAGAGGTGGATCAAAAGTGTTATAAATCCTAATTTCTATCTTACTTGTGATTATATTATTTACCTAAAAAACTGATGCAATCCGGTCACTATGCGTGTTGAAAAGGTCTAGAATACAAAACGAACTCGAAAAGAGTGAAATGTGTCACATAATATATATATATATATATATATATATTGTACATATCTAATGAAAAAAGTTTATTTATGTGTCACACGAACTAGTATCGACTTTTTATTAGATGTGTACACTGTTATGTGGTGTATATAATCTCTACAAGATAAAGATACTTTAGAGTTGTTCATGTGAGAATAAACTCTGAATATCTATAATTATTCGCAATTTATATGTATCAACTAAGTCTGAGACACACCAATGAGTGTCAAACTCTAACATTTGAGTTTATGATTCATTCAAATTTAATTCTACACCGTTGAACGACCCGCATGTGCTAAATCTTATCCTACTTAGTTAAAAGAATTCACGTGGATCTTGCTTGCAGATTTGATGCTCACCAACTTACAGCTACGTAGTTGCTTTTGCATGTGAGCATGGAAATACCTTTTCATTCACTCTACTCTCAAGAAACATCTCAGTATGAATTTATCTCATATATCCCCCCAAAGTCAAAGGTTTAACATAATTCATCTTATTTTATTATTTCTACCTATAAATAGCCCGAAATTACAACCATTTGCTGCCATTTTTTTTTTTAATAGAGAGTGATATCATGATTTCAAATTTATAGGTTAGAATTATGTAAATTAACATGAACCCGGTATAAGTTGAGCAAATACCAAGCTCTAGAGTTAGAAGAGATAAGAGTTAGTCAATATCGGTAGATGTCGCAGCCCAATTGTGCTTTGCTTTGGGCGCCCTAGACACGATAAATGTTTGCTCTTCTTGTCGCGGTCCCTTCTCTGTTTGGATTAAATAGCAAAGATAACAGATCAAGCGAGAAACTCTAAATAAAAAGAGAGACCAGAGAAAGGGTTGACAAAATTACGTGTGTTTAGTTAATTACTAGGGTTCTTTCTTGTAAATGATATATCTATACACCGTTCACACACTCATTATATCTATATACGCAAACCTTGATATTCTTTCACAAAATACCTTCTCTCTCTATTAAAGGGCCGATGACTGGCTTGTTTCTCTCTGTTGCCGGCCTTTGGGTGCCTACACATGTATCTATTCCTACTTGGTTGCTTCTGCAATAATAAATAAAAGAAAGAAGCCCGACTTCCAAGGAATACATTTTTAAGGAATACTTTTTTAATTAATAAAAAAAATTACAATTATTTAATATTGATGCATATCCAAAATGATTGGATACTACACTACAATATCTAACTGAGAGTCTTACACAGATCAAGATTCCTATAATATTTTTTATTTTAATACTTTTCTTGGCTTATTATCTAACCCTTAATGAGACCCACCTCTATACAATGTCTCTCTCTTAAATATATGATAAATAATTTATCAAAAAAAAATTTAAAATATACGTAAGGAAATCTCAAAAGAAGACTCGTGTTTACAAAACTTTAAATCTTTGATATTTCTTTGATTTATTTTTTTATCATTGATCGTGAAAATAGTAAAATAATAAAATAAACAACTTTTATGAGTGTTAAATTTTCATTATAAAAAAAAGAGGTATAGTATCAAATTACTTTTCAGTCCCATAGCTGACCCCCCCCCCCCCCCCACCACCACCAAAACAAAGTTGGTATGGCCCTCATTAATCATGTGAAAAATCGTTAATTTTTTTTGAGAGAATTATACTCAGGTCTCTTGAGGTTTGTTATTTAATCACTCAGATCTCATAATATTTAAAATATTATACTTAGACCCTGTAGTATATTTGTTAGTAAATTATATCCAAATTCCTTAAAGTTTGTAGACGTATAATACTTAGATTCCTCAAATTTAAAATATTATACTTAGATTAAAAATAATTCAATCAAAAATAGAATATCAAATATTTTAAATTTTATAACAAAAATTCATGTTCTATTGTGACATTTATTGAAATAAAATTAAAATTAAAATTAAAATTTTTCTTAAAAAATAATAATTAATATACAATTATATTATCTATTAAAATTTAATATGGTCATTTAAACTATCAAATTTTCCAAATTAAAGCTAAAATATATTATGTCCATTTCAATTTGACCATTTATTTAATTTTTTAGGTTTTTTTCAATAGATAGTATTATTATATACTAATTATGAGTTTTTAAAATAATGTAAATTTTTATTTCTGATTTTATTTCAATAAATGACATAATAGAATATGAATTTTGATTGCAAAATTTATGTTTTATTATGAATGACTTAGACCCCTTGTTTGATTTTTTAGTTTTATTAAAATATATAGTATAATTGTATATTAATTACAATTTTTTAAGAAAAATTGGCATTTATTTTTGATTTTATTTCAATAAATGATACAATAGAATATGAACTTTTGTTTTAAAATTTAAAATATTTGATATTCTATCTTTAATTGAAGTATTTTTAATTTAAATATAACATTTTAAATTTGAGAGGAGTAAAATTGTATGCCTACAAACTTCAGAAGGTCATGGTGTAATTTACTAACAGATATTTGACAACAGAGTCTAAGTATTACGCGCATACAAACTTCAGAAGATCTGTATGTAATATTTTAAATGTCAAAAAATTTAAACCATTAGGTGACAAACTTTAAAGAATTTGAGTGTAATTCTCTCTTTTTTTTTTTAACAAATACACAAGAGAGGGTGACCTCAAGGGGTCAGCTTAACGTCCAATAGTAGCGGCGGTGACAATTAGACAAACCTCTAACTTCAAATCATCGAGTGAGGTGACCTCGACCAAATTTTTAAACGTGAGATTGGAGGTTTAAAATTTAGAGTTCACGTTAAGATTCGATAATTGTTTGTTATGTCAGCTTAACTATGTTTGTTCCTAAAAAATGTAACGTAGGAACATCAAAATCCTTCCGGGGAGGACCAATCGAATGATACTTTACTTTGTCCCACCTCTTCTTTTAATATTAAAAAAAAAAAAAACCCCTAACTTCAAAAAATTTTAATTCTATTACTACTTTTTATCTTGTTTGTATTTTGGGGTCTTCTAGTTTTTTTGTCACAGAATTTATGCTCCGTTTGGTATAATAAAAAAATAGAAGGATGAAAAATTAGAGGGATAAATAAAACATCATGTTTGGTAAGGAAGGAAATAGAAATAATAGAAATGTGGATGAATTAACTTTCCTTCCAACTCACCAAAATCAATTCCTCTAAAATCAGAAGAAAAATGGATGAAAAATTAATTTTTTGTGCTGAAATATATCTTATTTGTCTATGTATTATGTATACATTAATTTTATATAAAAATACAATAATAAAATATATATTTATATAAAATTAAAAAATTAAAAAATTAAAAATTAAAAATTTAAAAAATCAATTTTACATCTTAATTAGAGATAAAGATTTTCGACTCAATACGATGACATGACTCAATCTCGACATAAATTTTATGACACAAACTTAATTATAACTCAATATAAACTTAAAAATAACCTAACATACTAATAAAAAATATAAAAATTTATAATTTTGTGATTTAACTCAAATCTGACACGACATATTACCCTAATCTAAGCAAGCATAAAATTAAAAAAATAATTATTTTTATATTTCACGCATCCAACCAAACAGAAAAGGAAAAAATTTTCAGACATCCTTCGCACTTTCTATCTTTTCTCCATTCCATCCTTCTTACCGAACGGAAGATTACGGTCTGAAGTACCCAATAATTGAGATAGCAAATGTTACCCAGAAGCTCATCAACCTCAGTCCTTCAAACCATCTTCTTAGATAGCCCCATCAGAGACTTCGATCCCACAGACTCTCCTCCATTCACGGTGTCCACCACCACCACCTCAGTTTGAGCTCATTCTCCAGCACCTCATCACCAATCTCTCACTTCCCTTCTGGGTTCTCCAAACTCGGTCCAAAAAACCGGTAGTATTCGCCAGAAAGCCTTTCTTAGAGTTCAATCGGATAGCAACTTTACAAAGACTAGCTCCAACTTCTCTTGATTTTGAAGAATTCTATAAACAACACAAATCAATGTTGCATACAGAACCATCTTTTTCAATTTATAATTCGCAAGATGGGTTTGAAGGGAATGAGAAAGAAGAGTTGGTGGAGAGTGATGGTTATTTGAAAAGGTCTGTTACAATTGGAGACAGCATAGAAGCTATAGGTAGTGGTGAATTTAGTTTTGGGACGAAGGGTATGGGCTTGATTCAGGAGGATGATAATGAAGAAAAAGAAGAGGAAGAGACTTTGAATGCAGTTGGCGGTGGTGGTGATTTAAGTCCAGCGAGTTTCGATGAGAGTGGCAATCTTGAGGAGTACTATGAGAGGATGGTTAGGAAAGATCCATCCAACCCTTTGTTTCTGAGAAATTATGCTCAGATTTGTTTGGTGAGTTCTATTCTCTTCTCTTTCTGTCGCCCCTATTGTTGTGATCTTGATGTCATTACTTCCATTCCCATCTGTTAAAGCATTTTACAATGAGAAAAGAACTTGTTGTAATGGAATTTAGTTTTACCATCACTAGTGGATCCTATAATCCTTTGCTTGCCGATTTATGTACTCAATTACTATCAATCAACCATCAATCATAAGGGCCTGTTAAGTTAAATAATTCACTTATGGTATGAGTTGCGCCTAGATTTAACTGAAAATATGGGCCTAGCACAATGGAGGAACAAGATTCATGTGGCCAACCCCCAATAGTTGGGATAAAGGCTGTGTTCAGTGAGTTATGTTGAGTGAGTTGTGTCCTGAATTTCAATGGTAGTGACTGTGGTTGCCTAGGTTGTCCCTTTTTCTTTTTCTTTTTCTTTTTGTTGTGGTTTTACAACAAATTCTATGCTGCAAGTCATACAACTCGGAATGGGGATATTAGCCTCTTCCCAGTGGTTGTATTAGGCAATATCTAACCTTCTATAGCTGTTCTCTGGTTGATTTCATTGTCTTCTTGGTATGAAGTATGAACATAGGCTAAGAAGCACACTCACACCCACCATGATCCTTCATAACTAGGTGATTCATTATGTGTCAGTCTTTTGACCCTATATTAAGTCTTACCATGGGCAAGGCTGCACACCTAGATGACTCTTGCCTATGAAGGTATCACCAATGTAGCAAAAGAGCCTTTGATCAACTTAAGCCATGAATTTTCCCCACTAGGACTTGGCTGGCCTTCAGATTGTACTGTTCAATCTCTGGACAGGTCTTAAAAAGCATATCTGGTGCAATATGGATAGAACACGTGAGTGATGGGTTGGAGGTGTTTATATAGTGGCAGTGAAGCAGTATGTGTTGATTTCTTGAAACATTATTGTGGTCTTGAAGGATTGAAAAACTTGTCACCAAAGCAAAACTCACTTGCATAAAAGGAGGTGACCACCAGTTGAACTATCTGCAAATATTTGGATTGATTCCGCATTATACCACATAAGCCTGAAAGAGAGAGTTTAAGGAATAATCTGGCCCTAGACTTACCAAATTACAACAGGAGCATCGATAAGTGGATGCTTTATGACTGTTAAATTTTGCATTTTCCTTGGCTCCAACAATCTCAACATAGTTTGTCTATTTTCATTTGGTGCATTTTGTTTTGATGAATGAGAATTCATTTCCTGCAAGTAATGTAGTCCAATTTTTCACTAACAGTCCAAGGGAGATCTTATAGGAGCCGAGGAATGCTACTTTCGAGCTACATTAGCAGATCCTCAAGATGGTGAAATTTTGATGCAATATGCGAAATTGGTGTGGGAGTTCCATCATGACCAAAATAAGGCTTTGAGTTACTTTGAACGTGCAACTCAAGCTGCTCCTAAAGACAGGTCAGTACTTTCTTGATTCATCTTACCTCTTCAAAGCAAGGAGACGATCAAGATCAAAATGTGTACCCCAACTGGTTCAAAAATTACCATTCATTGTTTCAGCATTGTTCCAAAATCCAGATATGAATCTTTACAAACAGGAACACATTAGTGTGTCAAACACCCAATTGGATTAACACTGTGATCACATGAAGTCTTCTCCCAAGCCATTTAAATAAATAATCAACATGTGACACACATGAAGGGCAGATGGCAACCCAGCTAGTAGGATTGACCTACACCTCCTCCCTGCCATACTGTGCCAGTTCATGACCAACCTTTCGATAGCAGCATGTGTGAAATATCTGACATTTCTTTTTTTAGCATTGTACTTGCAGCATATGCTAGTTTCCTCTGGAACATAGAGGATGAAGAGGAGGAAGATTGTGCACAGAATGATCACACTTGGGTAATTTTCTACATATGGTGTTCAATCTTCAAATCATTAATTGAAAACCCATTCTCTGAAACACATTTCCAAAAACATATGACAGAATAAAGGGGATGAAGGTCAGGTTGAACTGCAGAAACCTTTCGAAGTAGAAAAAGCACCTGCTAACCCACCTTTACATCTTGCCATGGGCCTTGGAATTGAGGTGCCTGGCATAGATACCATAAATTATGCTGCAACAAGCACCGGTGGCATTGGTGATGTTGAGGAGTATTATAAGAGGATGGTGAATGAAAATCCTTGCAACCCTCTATTTCTGAGAATCTATGCTCAATTCCTTCTTCAGGTCAAATCTAAATATCCTTTTCCTGTTTCCATTATCTCTTTAAGTTGTTCAATATATTCACAAGCACACGAGGCAGAGTTACATAAGGTTCTCCATCTTCATCATTTCAATTCTCTTGTATGGTTGAGCTTGACTAAAAGGTATAAGCCTCCGGTAAATGAAAGCATGGCAGAGAAACCCAAGACTAATTATTCTTTGTTTTCACCAACATTTAAATAAGTGTCCTAGCTTTAGAGTATTGATTGAGATTCCTGAACCCTTGTACTGATGTAAATCCAAGTGTTACCCTAAGATGCTGTACTAGGCAAGTCAAAGTTAGTTCAATTTATCAGTTTTATGGTGTTTGATATACAACTAAATATCAGCATTCAAATCCGACATTTTGTTTGTGGAAGACTATAAAGTTGTTATATAGTCTTGAATTAAAGCCTGGGTTAAAATAATATCCAAATTTCCACCTGCATGATTTTCAACTTATAAGGACGATTTTTCAGGGGTTCTGCTTCTTGATATAAAGCCTTGAGCAAAGCGTTGGATAAACTATTACTGCACATGCAACCATATATACACAGAGCCTTGTGCATGCCTCTAAGTTGAGAACAAAAATGCAGCTATTTCCAAAGCAAAGTGTCACTGCTCCTTTTGGAGGTTTTGTCCACAAGATCACTACACATGACAACGGATTATATTCAATTTTTTTGTATTAGGTTTTCAAAGCTAAGGATTTGACTATGACTTGTACAGGGTCTAAGACAAATCTGTCAATGATTTTTGAACTTCAATCCTATAGTAGAAGCAGGAATGGTGTTCTCTAAAAGTATTGTGATGTTAGCTTTGAATAGATAAGTTCTACATTGGTTGGACATTGTGATCTTCTAGCTGTGAATCTCTTTGAATATTGAAGCATTGGGCTCTACTTTGCTGCTGCCCCCACCCCCAAAAAAAATTGAAGAAAAACGTCATATGTATGTGTATTTACTAATATCAGTTCCATATGGGTACAACTACATTATTGTTCTTAACCTAACTAAAAAAAGGTATGGTACCAATCTACTCCAACCAAACTGCCACTAATGGCGACTAAAGTGGATGTTATCTACTTTTTACACGGATCAAGTTATATTGGTTTGTCTAAAGTATATTTTTGTCCTTTGTTTCCCATGTTGCTATTGACCACTATTTCACTGACAGTCCGCAGGAGACCTTCAAGGAGCTGAGAAATTTTTCTCACATGCTATACTAATTGATCCTGGACATGGCGAAACAATTGCAGAATACGCTAAATTGGTGTGGCAACTTCACCATGACCGAGATAGAGCCGTGTCTTACTTTGAGCAAGCAGTGCAAGCTACTCCAGGGGATAGGTATGAGCCAAATACCTTGTCTCCATAATCAGACATGTATGAGATGTGGAAATTTGTCAATATTCTTCCAAAATCCAAAAGCCTAATGCGTATAAGATACACTTTGCTTATGCTGTAATGATCTAAGACCCATTCTATTTACCCGTGCTTAGGAACTAGGATCTCCCAAGAATGACAGTGACCGTACAATACGGGATTTTTTTCATGTGCTTCTCAATCTAGATTGAGTTCTCATGTTATTGGGTACAGATTTCACAGTGAAGGCTAAAAATAGGTGTAGTTTTCATGGCTAACATCTAATTTTTGGTCTTTTTTTTTTTGTTGGCTTTCAGCCATGTTCTTGCAGCATATGCTAAATTTCTCTGGGATACAAATGAAGATAATGATGAAGAGGCAAGTAGTTCACAGCATGATGATATTCAGGTGCCACTTTTCATGGAGTAATGACTTCTGCAAATGTTTGACTCTTACATAAAATTGACAGATCAATACTCAGATCACCATCTACACATAAAGTGCCCGATGCTCTGAAGATAATCGGTGTTATACTTTCTCAAATGGTACCACAATAAAAAGTCTAGAACAAAAAAAATAACTGCTTGTATGCAACGATGGGAGCAGAGATGTTTCTTTTATTATATGTATTATGTTTCTAAGTTGAACTAAATGAGATGACATTCATGCAATAAAATTTACATTCATCGATGTTCTTGTCAAAATGAAGAATGATAGCAGGGTGGAAAACCTGTCAATGATTGTTTGAACTTTGAAGAAGCTGCCGTACTCTGATGTTATGATTAAACTACAGTTGATGAGCATCGAGTCCCTTTAGCCCCATAGCTGCTGCCGTTGTCCCGAGCTATGAGTCGGTTGTTAGATTTCTTCATTGGCTCTTGGATTTCTTCATTGGATCTTTTGGAGGCAGAGCATCACCAGTTACTGTGAGAACGGTCGTACATTTTATGATGGATCCTAATTTTTTTATTTGCAACTAGACCCAAAAAACTAGTATGGTAAATCACAAATTATAATTTCAATATCGTACCTCTTTTGGTACCCAAGTCAAATCCACCATCTAAATCTTTCACTCCTTGGGCTCCTACCAAAACTAGCTAGCATCTGGAATGATCAAACACAGATGACTAATACTAACCTAAATTAGCCCCAAGCAAGCATAGATGAACCAAGCAGTCGTAACTGCTAAAGCTACCAGAAACCCATTCTTAGAGATTAACAACTCCCAGAAAATGATCACCAAAGACAATTAATTCCAAATACAAATCTAGAACTGATATAAAGAAACTTCCTCTTACATCTTTACTGCAAGCTATCTAACAAGCCGTCCAAAGCAAAGACATACCATTGTTCAGGTGAACTGAGGTCCCCAAATCAACACCAGAATCGAGCAAACGAAAACAGATTCCAAGAATAATCACTATAATTTTTCATTTTCCGATATGATCAGATTCTTAGAAACAGTTCAACCCAGCATCAACTCAACAGTTTCCTTTACCAATAAATAAAAGCTTATTGAAAGAAGGGATAGTTCAATAAATTAGAATAATGTAGTTCACTATTGTAGAAAACACAGAATTATGTGAACCAATTAGGAAGCCTATAAAGGTAAATAAAAATGACAATTGCAATTACCAAAAACGAATATAACGAGGCATCTTCCCAGCACATCTAATTAGATATATTTTTGGTTCTTGAGAACCATAAAGGTGAATGTGCTGAAAGAAAATGACTTTGATCAAAAACTTGGCTTTTATGCTTCACAAGGCTTCAGTTATTGTTCAGTCCGATGGATACTGTCCATTTCTTGACATTTGATGGTTGCCCGAGAACACTCTGTCCTGACGGGAACCTTGTCGGTAGAAACCATTTCCTCTTTGTCGGTTGTAATCCCGGTCACCTTCATCCGGACCACTCCCCCTGCCAAAACTTCGTGCACCATAACGCCCCCTTGATGCATCCATTTGATAGCTACCCCTGCCTCTACCCCTTCCTCCTGGCTCAAAACAAACCACTCATCAAAAATTGCAAAAAATTATCCTTTATCTTCATACAACAAGGAGAATGGAGTTGTTTTTAATATTACAGAAATTATTACACCACTATAAACTCAAATTATGCCAACATTTATATGTAGTTGGTCCAATGCCGAGGTTGAATGACATTTTCCTCTGGCAACTAATGCTTGGAGGACCCAATTGCCCAAGAAAATTTTAAGGATTATCTAATTTCAGCTTTCCTTTTTATTTAACGGATCAAACTCAGGTGATGCATGCAACGAAAGTACTACTATATGTTCCATCTTTAAGATGTCAGGCCCTATTTAATGCAAGAACAGCCAGTTCAGAAACAATTTGAACTGGCCATACAATATGAATCTCATAAAGATGGGATGTTGATGCATAACTTCAACAATCAGACCAATTTTGATAGGAAAAATCCAGAACAATTAGTCCATTTCAATATTGAGATTCATAGTTTGAAGTACATACTTCCTCCTCGAGATGAGTAGCTTCTGTTGGCTCTTCGCCCTTCTATGTATAGTTGGTGTCCAGCAATCTGAACAGTAGATGCCTACAATGCAATCAATAGAAAAATTAAGGCCACCATTACAGATGATCCAAGCTAAGTCACTGTTCACATTGCAGCCATGAGTCCAAAGGGCAGTTGTGCAGCTGAGACTATTTTCCATTACCAAAAATACAAAATAAAAGGACCAGGGTGTGCTACAAAGGTTGCATTTCATAAATAATAGTTACATAAAAAGAACTTGAAAGGCCAATGGAGGAGAACAAGTTATAGACCAAAAAAAATTAAGTATAAAACTTTATAGATGAAGTTTTACAGAATAATTAACAAGATCAAACACAAAAACAAAGCTCGCAATAGCACTAAAATTTAATGAAAGTTGATAGAGTTGCGACATCTCTGATAGATGAAAAAGAATGGTTTAGGTCTAATTACACGAGTTGCAATGTCTCTGCTAGATGAAAAAGAATGGTTTAGGCTCAATTACATCTTGACTTCTATGGTTCGCCACTCAATTAGATAGACCTCCACTTCTTGGAGATTAATACTACAACTCTCTACGGGTAATGCTTCAAAAATGGAAGTCTTGAAAAGAACAAATTATTTAGAAAGACAAAATCTGACAACATAGACAAAATCTGGCAAATTGAATGATGAATTTGCTCATTCCACCAAAGCTTTTGCCAAACACCCCATCCTAAACCTGAGGTAATACATCCCTGTCTACTTATACTCTCTTTCTTACATTGCTCTAATGAAAACAATTGCCCTTTCTCTCCTCTCAAAGCTCCCCCAACCCTACTCTTCCTCCTCTCTTTTGGTCAGAATTCCAACACCCTAAGCCAGCCCACCCACCCTTTCACTGGCACACACAATTAAACCCACAACCTCTATCTGTTTAAACCAGTAAACCCAATACAACCACATACGAATTCGATCTATCAAGACACAACACAGACACACTTGGATTTGGAGATTTTCATTGTGGCTGGAGCGATGGCTGGTGTCTAGTAGATTGGGCGATTGGTCGTGGAGGCTGCGGGCTAAAGTGATGGGCAGCCAAGACTGAGGGGAGGGATAAAAAAAAATCAGCCAAATTATTTTTGTTCTCATGGAAACATGAAATTGAAACAATTGGAGATTGAATATAAAAATTTCAATGTTTCGGAATATATCGGAAAAAATTTCAATGTTTCGGAATATATAGGAAAAAATTACTAATTTTTTTGCTCAATTTTCATTCTATTTTACATTTTAGTTTCCTAGGTAACAAACAAAACACCAAAACAAAATTTTGATCCTTGACTGAGGGTTGACTTGGTGGTGGTGGCTTGGGGGGTAAATATTGGTAGATCCTTCGAGTTAGATTTCGATTTCGAGGTGGAAGGTTTGGGAGATGGTGGGGTTCCAGTTGGGATGTGAAGTGGTGGAGAGTGGTTGAGTGAGTTGCATACATAGTAAGGTTGCTCCATTGTGATGTGGCATCAAATGTTTTAATCGCAGAACAGTCTCTTTGCATGTGGAGTAAGGCTGTGTACATTTAACCCTCCCCAAACCTCACAATGACGGAAGCTTCATGCACTAGGCCACCCTTTCTTTTGTGTTGCCTGCACCCGGGGGGTAGAGGTGGCTACTAAACCAGATCAAACACAAAAAAGCTTGACAGAGTTCAAACCTTTAAATCTTTGCAAACCTAGAACACGTGATATGTACAGACCTTTACTGCATTCTGAACGCCAGTGATATCTTCAAATTCAACAAATGCATAACACACATCAATATCCTGCATTAATGCAAGCAGAGAGTTTATACACATTCAGAATCCTTTGAGGCAACAATGCAGAATACATTAAAGAGGAGAACCAAAAGAGCAAACCTTCCGGGTTCTAATGGCCACACCATCAGGCTTGAGTCTACCAAATTGCCTAAATTCCTCCTCAATTTCAGAAGCAGACATCATAGATGGCACATTTCTCACGTAGACAGATTTTATTTCAACTGAGGTTATTCAATAAGTAGAAAATCAGGAAGCAGCCTAATGCAAGACATACGCACAGACATAGCACAGATGTAAATGCAAAGATGCATATGAACAAGTATGCATGAATAATTATGCACAAAAAATAAATACATCTGAAAAGAAAGAAATAAGCCTCGTGTTGTGCTTCTGTATGCATATACCAAAGCAAAACGTAGCATGAGAATACAGAAATTAGAGGACGAGCAGTGTGTGTGTTGCACCTGTGTGAGTGTGGATAGCTGTATGAATATTTTAGGGAAAATCATAAATCCATTGAACATAAAACATACCGAATATAAGAGTGACCAAATTGTATTAGAAGTAAAGAAAAAGTTACGAAATATTTGTAACTTATTTTTAGAGTAGTATAATACATAATTGGCATTTTCTGCAAAATTCCCATACCTGTGAGCAAGTTCTTTTATTAACGAAAGCAGAAGTGAAACTTATTTCATGATATGAGTTGCTTAAAATTATTGATCAAAGGATGTACTGCATAAGAGATGCCAAAATTTGAAAAAACAAGGGAAAGTTCACCTTCATCATCCAAAGCTGAAACGTCCTCTGCAGCCTCTGCCCCAGACCTTTCAAAGGTAATTGATGATGCAACCGGATCCTGAGTAGAGGGCTCGGGTACATGATGCCACTCGGAAACAGGAGGAATGGTCTTGTTAAAAGAGGGCTGAGGAGGTGCAGATTGTCCTTTAGTAACCTGCAATTTTCAATGGCAAACAAGCAGGAGAAGTCAGTCCCCAGCCCAGATAATGTAATTTGAATACCATAAGTTATGAGATGTTGGGCATACAATAGAAGCATAAGTATGCTTTTGGGGCTGCCCAATGGGTTCTTCAACAGGAGAGAGATGGTCTTTCAGAGGGTTCATTGTATTCTGAAGTGAACCATTTGCCCGTACTGTAAAATTGTCTTCCAGAACATTTTCAGTTTCTGGGACTTGCTGCAGCCGTTCATCTGACAAACTGTAGTCATCGATTGGACCATTTTCTTCGGTATTAGCTGGAGCTACAAATTCCCTAGCCTGATGATCTCCACCCAACAAGTAACTGGATACTGCAGAGGCCACTATTTCATTTACTATATTAAAATCACAAAAATAATAATATTATTCATGGGTAAACTAACTGCCATAGAATATAATATATAAACACCCCTTTAGTGCTGCTTGTATATTATTTAATATATAATATATATATTATATAATATATGTAACTGAGTATTATATATGCCATTGAAAGTTGCAGGTTGCTGTTGACATATAGAATACAACCTGACTGCTAAATTTGCCTTAGAGCAACGTTTGACTATGTATCTCGACGTTGTGTTAAATTTTTTAGATAAACACTTTCGAATGCCACATTTTAGTGCTGCTTAGTGCAATGGAAAAATGCTTGAGCTAATAACCCCGCAAGGTTGTGACTTAAATCTAAGGGCTCTAATACAATGTTGCATACAAGCGAACGGACACGTCCTTTTACAGTTCAGCCCCTCCTAGCACTCTTGCATAGTGCAGACAAACCAAGGTGATGACCTTGTAGTCAGCATGTCATTAGATATCTCTACAGTTGAAGTGCAGGTATCCATTCTGTTTGATTGATCAAAACCTATTGCAATGATAAGCACAAGTGTAATTACACAAGTTACATGAAAACATTAGTTATGTTGCTGTCTTCCCCTCTTAGATGAACCACAAAATGAAAGGTTTAACCATTTAAGCTCAATGACCGATTACTCCACCCAATAATACAGCCACCTTTTGAAATCTTCTAGGAATAGAGGTCCAAACATGATACCTGGTTCCTGAATAACAGTTGAAGCATTTTCTTTGGAATCTAGATTGCTTTGGGTGAAATAGGCTGCTGGAAGCTGGTGAATTGGTTCATCTTCAATAAAGTGAAAAATATCATTAAGAACAAAGTAGCCTTTCTCCTGAGGTGCAAGAAAAAAAGTTTGCACAAATTTCCTCCGGCCATTATAATCCTTTATAAGAACAGAGCCTGAAACCATCACAAGAACACCTCCATTCCAAGACTCTAGGGAATGTGCTGTCTTGATTTCTATCCCAGTATAGTTGAGCGACATGATAAGGGTATGGATTTGCTGCAATGAAGAAAAGGATTGCAAAATATGTATTACTTAAACGAACACAGATCATAAACATAAAATTTGTTCTTGGAGGGTTTAGAGAGAAAGAACTAAAATGCAGGACATAGTAGCAGATCAAAAATACACATTACTCCTTCAGTATATAATTATTATGAGAAGCAAAATTGCCAGGAGGCATTATTAAGTTGGCTACATCATATAGAACTGGGGGCATTACTTCCATCCAAGAACATTGGTTGGTCCGATGTAAGTAGGCCCTTATAACATCAAGACTCCTATGAGAACTGATCACCAAAAAATTTCCAAGTTTTCATCATCATGAAGCCCACAACAATGAAAGTGACATAGAAGATAAGCTGACAATAGCTAGTTACACAGAAGGCTGAGTGTTTATCCTTTATACCATGGCATATATATCCAGGTGCAATTAAGTTCAACTGTGCATAGCAAATTATGTTTTAACCTTCTTGTTGCCCATGGCTTTTGTTAAAGAGTTGAGGGCGCCTTTCCATTTATGCATATCTGACATTTAACTAGCAACTTTGAAGAGCACTTTCATTGGATTTGTGGCACTGATCTAATGCACTCGGCCATAACTCCCCTCATCACTCTATTAGTTTTGAAAAGTTTTAATCCATGGTTATTAAAGATCAAATGTTACACATAGCCTCAGCTTTCCATCCCTTGGCTGAAAAAAAACACAAAAAAAAAACTTAAGTTACAAAATATTATTAGACTTCTTGTAGTCTCACCTCAACTCAGCTGAACTAAAATTTGTCCGTACTATTTAGGGTCATGTTTCGTTATTGTGCTCCATCGAGACTATATTTTCTTCTAAAATCACAACGTTGTCATATGAATTTTACGATCTCATTTTAGAGTTGATTTTAGTCTTCCTCCATCCCTTGCATTACCTTCAAAAAGTATCACATCACTTTTGCGCATTGGTCCAATAATAAATCTTCTATGAACATGTTCAAACCACCTAAATGTATTTTTTATTTTGTCTATCTTCTATTGGTGCTACTTCTTGCAGTATTTGCTACATATACAACTAATTAACCAGAGGGTTCAGAAAGTCATGAAACTTTACTACAGCACCATAAGATACGTGGTGAAATAATCTCAAGCAACCAGAAATAATATGTACAAGTGTACAACACAAAAACCATTTTAACTATTTGGAAAATAGAAAGGAACTACTATTCAAATCAAGAAGATATGACAAATAAGGCTTACTAAACAACTTATGATCAAAGAAAGCTTGAACTATGCAAAGCATGGGGAGAAGAAAGAAATGTCAAATACACAAACAGAATCTTATTTGAGACTTGCCAAAGCATGTAAAGAGACTACTACTAAGCATCAATGGATGAGACATACGGACAATAATACACAGTTATCTGTTGTCAGCTATGACACCAGCTGTAAAGTTGAACAGAAAGGAGGTATCTATAGCACTGAAAAGAAGTTAGTGCAACATCATCACCATATATATGGGTATTATCCTTTGTTTTTTAGATAGGCATAAATAGGTGTTTTCAAACAGTGGGCTGGGTTTTGAATAATAAAAAGAGAAAGGAGGCCCAACACAAGATTTAGGAGCAATAGACGATGTCATGATGTAGAAAGACAACAGCAAGAATGACTGCCGATTTATGGAGTGACGGATCACTGATTCCTTTATACTAATAGCCTAATATACTTCAGAAGCAAATTCCTAAAGATCCTATGATATTCTCTTTCAAACTAGAACAAAGATATAATGAGAATTAAAGCAATGTTTTGTCATATTTTTTCCTTCTTCCTCTTTTCTACTTATTCGTTTTTAAGTTGTTCTCAACTATTCTCATTTTCCCCTCAAGCTCACATGATAAGAGAGATCAATCCGTTAGCTGAATTATTTTTGAATCAAGCTTTAAACAACTAAACAACCAACACTAAATTTCTTCCATGCTGAACAATCAGATCAGAATAAAACTACCACCACCAACAACAAACCTGAATGCCATCACAAATAATTGTAACTGACACTGTCGTGCTACCCATTCCTCTCAAGTCTGTCCATTGTCGTGCTCAAAAGTTAGATCACAATACTTCTACATGAAATTTTAGAGTTATTTTGTTCCTTAATGTGAAACTTTTAAGTGTTTTTTTTTCCCATTTTGTGGTTCAAATTGAGATAATGTGAGTTGTGTTGATACGAATGTAACTTGTACAGTAAATGTGATACGGGTCGGGTTAGAGTTATCCATATCATAAATAGGTCGAGTTCGTGTCATATCACGTGGCATGATTAACCAAGAGATTCTTGATAAAGAGATTTTGCGATGCAATTGGTGAGGTAGGTTATAACCAAGCCGCGTTAATTGCTGGTTGAAAATTATTTCCAAACCCCCTTATGGGTTTGGATTTATCCCTAACCTTTGAGAATTTCTAGAAGGGTTCCCTCTAATCCAGGGTAAAGCCATATAAAAAAAGGAGGAAAGAAAAAAAGATTAGCTAAACAAGTTGGGTTAAAGTACTTCACATAGATTCAAAGGGACACAACTACATGACCTAACAAGATTGATCGCCTTTCTACCACAACATCTCCCATGCATCCAAGAGGCAGGATATCTTGCTGCCCTTCTTGTTGTAAACTAAAATGCAACCAGATCAACTACTAGGCAACGTGTCTTTATTTAGAATCATTCAATTGTCCTTCGACGAATACCAATACAACTTGGTTGAGTCAAATTCAACTCGACACGTTCTATTCGGCTACTGATCCACATTCCATATAAACTACGAGTCTCACTATCACATAAATCAACCATACCATCCAATACATTTATGAGTGAATTCCCATATGTTAGTCTGAGTCATCGTCCTCAACTTGATCAACAACCTATAAGATGCCGCAATGGGGTTAGAATCTCTTGTTTCAAGTATACCATGTGTATTGCTCTGCAACACTGGGACTGATGTAATTCATTGCTCTCTAAGTTGATGACCGATATCGCGATCTAAAACCATGCTCCATTTGTACTGGATGTCTCTCTCAAAAGTAATACATACACATGTAATTACAACACACACTAAATTTCCCCCCCTTGGACCTTTTAGCTGGCCATATTACAAAAAAATGGAATTGCTTAATAACATATAGATATTAAAAGACTTGTCCAGCCTCAATCACCTCCATATCCTTAAATGCACACAGACATATATCCAAACTCCCAAAACCCGGAGAAAGTTAAGAGTAGCAACATTTTAATTCATCTCCAACCGTAGCCATCCTATTTTTAAAATAAATTGTTAAACCTCACCCCACCCAACCCCCCCCCCCCCAAAAAAAAAAAAAAAAAAAAAAAACCAAAAAAAAATAATAAAATAAAATAAATGATAAGGGCATTTGACATAGTACCCTCATTTTCCATTCCACTAATTAAAACTACTCGCATGCAAAAACAAAGTTCTCAAACTCAATGAATAAGAATGTATAATCCACCAATTACTCAATCACTGTATCATAACTAAATATGTGTGGGAGCGCGCGCACACACATATATAGAAAAGCAGAAAACAATCGGAATTACCAGCATTGCCGAAGCCGTCTCTCTGGTATTACCATCAGTCCGAAGCATCGTGCTGGCATCGCTATAAAACTGGTGAACAAAATCAGGCTGAGTCTGAAGGATCTGGTAATACTGCCCCACGAAGTACGTCCCAACCTAAAAGATTTGAAACAAATATTTTACAGATGAAGTAAAAAAAAAAAAGAGAGAGAGAAGAATCTAAATGTCAGTAGCATATGTGTGAACAGTTGTATATAGAGATAGTGAAGGACCTGCGCAGCAGTAACCGGAAGGTGAAACGGCGTCGCCATTGGATACCCTAACAACCAAAGATACTCCAATCAAAACCTTTAGATCTGCAATGCGACTTGGTATCTGAAAAGTCCAAACCCTAGAATCACCATTACATTTACATATAAAGCTACTAGTAAAAATCCACTATACAGAAAGAAAGTGGAGAATCTACAGAGAGAAAGAGAATAATTTTAGAGAGAGAGAAGAAAGAGAGATAGATTTGTAAGAGGCAGAAAGAGAGAGTCAGCGAAACCTACAGTTAGTGTGTGTAGTGTGTGTTTGTTCTTCTTCTCCACTGGGTTTTTTGAGAGCTGCCTTTTTGTGTGCTGGTGTTACGGCTTTGGTTAGCCGTCACCACAGACGCACGCGTGTGTGACTTGGACCCCCCGATGCTTCGCTAACAGAGGCTGTTAACGAATGAACTATGCAATAAATCGTAATTCTAGAAAAATAAAAGGCAAAAGTAAACTTTATGCTCAAATTTAATTAATTACTAATTTCTATTTTATCCCAATTAAGCCTCGTAATTATGAAAAAATTTCAGTCACACCCCTTTCAGTTAATTATATCTTCAAAGATACCTCATCTATTTTTTGAATTATCACTGACACTACTATCAGATTATAGGTGTTAGTTATTATGTAATTTTATTAAATTGTTTATAATATATTTGAATAAAAATTTCATCCACACCCCTTTTAAGATAGACATATTTTCAATGACACTCTCTTAATTTCTAAATTTGTTTATGTATTAAAATTCGGACTGATTAAAATCTGATTTGAGTTAATTAAAATTTATTTTTTACGTATTAAATATGATTGGATTAAAAATTATATTTTTTTAATTATTAAAATTTGGGCCGATTAAAATTCTATTCAAACCAATTAAAAATCAGCTCAAATCAAATTTTAATCGGTCCGAATTTTGATACATAAAAAAAATATAAATTTTAATCGACTCAAATTTTAATACTTCAAAAATAAATTTTAATAAACTTGAATCAAATTTCAATTAGCACAAATTTTAATACGTAAAAAAATATAAACATTAATGACACAAAGTGAATTTTAATTGACGTTAATAACTCAAGTAGAGCTCAAATCGGTTTAAATTTTAATACGTAAAAAAATTAAAATTTAATTAGCTTGAATCGAATTTTAATATGTAAAAAATAAATTTTAATCAACTTAAATTTTAATATGTAGAGAAATAAATTTTAATCAACTCAAATTTTATGTAAAAAGATTGTTTGGGGTTTATGTAACTGGCATTTTTTGTATTTTAGATAAATTTTTTTTGTTAGAAATGGTGGTTTAATAAGTGAGAGTGTCAATTATAAACTAAAAGAGTGTTAGTGATATTTTTGATAATAGAATGAGTATTTTTAAAAATATTACAAATTAGAAAAGTTGTGATTGAAATTTTCCAATCACTTTTTGGAAGCTGGTCATTCTTTGCAAACTTTTTATAACTTTAAATCCATTCAGAAATGTTATTAAGAATATAAGGACACTTTGTGTTAAATTGTCTAAACTACCTCTAAGTTTCATTTTAATTCACACAAAATCAAAATTTTGATAACCGACGAAGACTCCTTCAAATATGAAAGTGGATCCTCAGTTTATCTACTCACTTGAAATTTGAATTATAAATCACATACTATAAGAACACATTTGAAAACTAAAACTCCTAAATTTTAGAGATTTTTTTTATGTTATAATTATTTCTTTATATCATATCTTTCTGTATACACTTACAAAAGCACAATCAAATTTAAACTAAATTAAATTCAAATTTTTTTAATGTGTGTATACACACCCACACGTACACGTGTTTGCCATAATAGAACAGTGATATAAGATTGTTCAACATCAATACATAAAAATTGATAGTAATATAAGACAGTAACATGAACATGAAACAATAACATGAATACAATAGTAATCAAAACCAATAACATTTAAAGTGAAAACAGTAACATGAACGCAATGGTTACCAAAATCAAAAATCAATAACATTGAACATGAAACAATAACATGAATACAATAGTAATCAAAATCAATAACATTTAAAGTGAAAACAATAACATGAACACAATGATGAACAAAATTAGTAACATTTAAACACAAAAAACAACAACATTGAATATAATAGGAATATGAAACAGTAATATAAACATAATCACTGTCGTGTTTTAGATCAAAATCAACCTCCATGACCACAAATATATATACAAATCATCTTGTTTTAGATTTGAAAGTATAATTGAATAGTAAAATCTAAAAAAAAAACTCAATTGTTAATATAACCTATGATATTAAACAAAAAACTCGAATTATTTAGATAACTTACATTGTTTATACGATTACGAATCAGGAAGTATAAAAAATAGCTCCAAACTCAAACTCAAATGAACTACCAGTTCAAATTCGAACACATAAGAATGATAGAAGAGGAATACTCAATTTCAAATTTATATTTGAAAGTCAAATGGATGAAAATTTGATATGGGAAAAAATTGAATGTGCAAACCTTCTCTTCAAAATTGAAGAAAAAGATCAATAATTATTTCAGCTATGTGTTTGAAATTCAATTTTTTTGAAAAACAGTTATAGGAACAATTTGAATGTGAAACTCTGATCAAAATCTCGTATGTTATAGAAACTGATTTTTAAACTAATTTGGAAACTAAAGTTGGCATTAAAACAAGTGACAACTCCAACGCTCTCAACAAATGTCATATTTTAGCTATTTTGTTGAGCCAATCCAAAAAATTCCTCTTTAACGGGCTCTCTATTTCGCTGGTTAATCTGCCCCCCCATTATCACTCATCAGTTCTGGCTAGCAAGACTCTCTCTCATCAGAGTTCTCTCCCCCCAATTTTGGGTTGTTCTTCATCAGAGTTTGACGCCAATTTTGTGTTGTTCATCAGAGCTCGTCTTCATCAGAACTGTCTTCATTGTGGTTTCATCTTCACCCGGTATGGATCTTTATTTATCTCTTTCTCTCTCTCTCTGTGAACTTCTCTGTCTCTAATTTCTCCCCTTCTCCCTCGATCCAATCATGTCTTGCTTCAAGGGAAGATACACTAGTATTCCCTTCTTTTCTATCCTTCGTTTTTGGTTGTTCTTGTTCTTTTCGTCTATGGATACAATATGCTTATGTAGGAAGTCAAAACTTATTTGCAATATTGTTGTTTATACATCATTTGGGTGTTCCAATTTTTAGAATTTCTGATCTGGGTTTACTCTATTTTTCCTTGTTTTGTTGCCTGTAAAATTTGTACAAATTGGTAAAATATTGTAAAATTTGTAAAACATTGTTTCATTGCTTGTACAATATTATTGTTTATACATCATCTGGGTGTTCTACTTTTCAGACCTTCTATGTTTGTTTGGTTGTTTGATTCCTCTGGCTTTTAAAAGATGGTGAATGAATTAGGTTTGTAAAAATCTGATCTTACTTATTTGCCTTTTTTGAAGACGTTTTGGTTTTAAAGAGTGACCCCATAGTCATAACATGCTGCTACTCTTTGTAATTGATAAAACAATGAGTAAGCTTGATTGGGGTTAAAATTATGTGATTGAATAAGGGTATTGCGACAAATGATTTGGATGAGTCATAAAGCATTGCAATAATGAGGTATCATTGTGGTGGTGATGTCAAATTCATTGGAATTTTATTCAGTTTGTTGTTGGATGGATGCCTTTTTAATTTATCAATCTTACATGTTTGTTTTTCCCCAATTTTGTTTTCCTTTAACTTTATGAATCATAACATCCTGCTATGGTGATGATGCTATCTTATCTGTAATCAATTTCATTGGTTCTTGACAAAAATCAAGTATGGAGCAAAGTTATGCATACCCTTGGCCTTTTTTTCGGAAGAGAAGATAACCTTCAAGGAAAATTAGAATACTTGTAATTAGAAAATTATATTGTTGTCCTTTTGTACATTGTATTTGATACTTCAATCGTTTTGATATACTTGTAATTAGTCTAAGGAAATTTGACATCTAACCCCTCATTTTAGAAGTCGTCAGCTTTTCTTATATGCTGGACTTCTCTATAGAACTCATGTCAATGTTTTTATGGCTCTACTCAGAAACATGTGACCTCTTGTTTGGCTTGAGCTTAAAGTGGTTGACTTTCTCTCCATGATCTAGCCTTCAAAGAATTTCAATGATGTTTTCCAAACACACAACTTTCATTAATTCGATTGTCATAACCTAGGTAGTCATTTTCTGCCCAATTTCAACAGTGAACCTTTATGTGCCTTTCTTTTGAATTTTTTTCATCAACAATGTAAGTTTTTTGATGGATGAACATGAATATTACTTCACCAATCTCTTGAATGACGGAACAAACATAGATGAGTTTAACACTCAATCAATAAACCAAATAAGTTATTCTTTACCAATATCACCTCAAATAGAATCCACCACCAAAAAGGTTCAAGGCGACAACTTTACAGTTAAGGAGTACTTAGTTTTAATCTCGGGTTGGGATAATATTAGCATGAATGTTGTGCATGGGAATGAACAAAAATCTAAAAGGTATAGGCAAAGGGTTTGGGAGTACTTCAACGAATACAAACCCCAGTCAGATTTTAATCACAGTCAAGTTTCTTTAATGAATCGTTGGTCGACAATTCAACTAGCCACCAATAAATTTTGTGGCTACTTTGACCAAATTGAAAGGTTGAATCAAATTGGTCTGACTGAGAAAAACAAGGTATGAGTGTATTTTAATTACAAGTGTGAAAATAGGGCATTTTTCTTTTATGATACATAGTATTATTGTACAATTTTCAGGTCCGTGATGTAAAGAAGGTGTACAAGGAACTTCATAAATCTTCTTTTCCATGTGAACATTGTTGGAAAGAGTTATGGTATCAACCAAAGTGGATGGAGGAATCTCAATCCAAGAAACAAAAAACAAAAGGTGGTGCAACTCCTAGCAGTTCTAATCCTTCAACACCAGAATCGATAAACATAGGAGATGACAGTGGGGGCTTGGAGAGGCCAACTAGAAGGAAGGCTGTGAAACAGCGAGCAAGAAAGTCAAAGAGCAAACTCTTTGAAGGCAATAATTCAAGTTCAACCTATTTCATGAAAATCATGACAAAGAAAATATAGTTCTTTCTTATTCATAGACTAACAACTTTTGGAGTAGTAGTACAACAAACAAGTATTATAATATTATGCATGTTTAAATATTCGTAGACAATGAGTGTTTAAATATTTGTAGCATATTACTGCATAAAACATTCCATACATATTTCACAAGTGCTCCACTAGATCAGTTTGGAGTATCGAATGAGTGTCTCTGTCTCAAATGCGATGTTGAGTATGAATAAATTGAAGCAGTTCTGAACTCCGTTTGGATAT